ACCTTCCTCCCTGCTGGCTAGCTTTCATAGTTCCAGAAAGTATTATACAAACTGCTTGGGGCCGTGGGTGGGAGGCACCAGTAATCTTAACTTGCTATGGATGCTGCAAGCTATACAGTCAAACTGCCAGGTAAAATATGGCCGACGGTGCAATAGCGGCATAAATGGTATGGGAATAACCAACTGTTTTCTGTTTGCATTTGAGGTCAATGCCACGGACCCCAGGGGACAAGCTACTACTGGTGTCTTGCTAAACTGAGGTCTTGTGCCCTCGAACTGCTTTATAAATATTTATTATGCCTGTAAGTACGCTGCTGTCAGTCACACTCAGAGAAGCCTGGTTTCACGGTGGAAAGAAGTTATGACCGATACTCATAACTAGTCAGAGTTCTGAGAATAAGTGACTGTTGAGTGAGTGACAGTTACTCATCCCGAAATATCACCATCGCCCCCTCCAAGGCTCAGGAAAACACCGTGCAATGAGAGACAGAAGGAAGGTAAGGGCTGGAAGATGGGAAGGAGTATTGTACAAAGCTGTCTTCCAGGCACAGCGTGGCATGGGCAATCATGAACTCAGCAGCTGTAGTTATCAACACAAGATTGGGTCCTTCAGCATCTTGTCATGATTGGGGGAAGGAATGACCGCATGGCCCTGCTGCTCACTAAGGAGCGATTAGCATAGGATAGTAGAGGAGGAAGAACCATCTTCTTCAGTGGTGTAGTCACTGGTAAGTTGCCCATGCTGCACCAAACAATCCCCACACCCATGCTCACATAAGCAACACTAATTAAATTCAGTGAGACACACAAAATTTCTTTTCTCACCATGAGGTTAAGAGGGTGATTGGTTGTGGTAAGAGGGGTCAGGGTAGGAAGAAGGCAGCAGGAGACGGTACTAGGGGTGAGTATGATCAAAATATTTTGTGAGAATTGTTAAATTATTCAAAAAGTTAACAAATTAAAACAAGTCCCAGGTCATTTTCAGCGACATAATGAGCTTGAGGTCAAAGCCACCTCGGTTTACACGAAACCTTGTTCCTGCCACCACCTCCCCTCAAAACTGAGAACTTAGGACATCAACCGCCGAGCATTAAACCATTGGAGAGGCCCTAGTGAGCATGGAACTCTCTGAATGCACAGGTCACATGACTGTGAAATCTATTCCGTAGAACTTAGCACTGTTGCTCAGTTGGTAACATTCATAAGTGAAATCTACTCCGTAGAACTTAGCACTGTTGCTCAGTTGGTAACATTCATAAGAGTGAAAAAACAAAAAATAAACAAATAGGAGAGACATTTGTAAGACATGTATGTGACAAATAACCACATCAAATCTGTAAGAAAATGTCAGAATGTTTATGAAGGGAAATGGACACCTCACTCATAATGGTACCAGGACAGCCATATCATGCAAAGGTGTTGGTTTACATTAGTAGTGAGCAAAATTAAACACACACAGCCACTGCACCAACAAACTGAGCAGACTGTCAGTACCACGGTCACTTCAGATCCACCCGATCCTTCTCCTTCTGCAGAATTTCGCCCTTGCTCACGTACAAAGAATCTATTTCTTGATTCCTACCAAGCAGGAGGCCCAAGGGACCAAGGAAAGTGAACTGCAGAGTTTCTGGGGCTCTGGGAGAATAAATCCGTTCATTCGCATGGGGTTGCTGGCTGGAGGACACACTGTTAAGCAGTGACGTCCTTTGCTAAGATTCTGTCCAGCCACCTGGATCTGTTACATGTTCCTGGACTTTTAACTATGTCTGCCAACCTGCTTAGGCATTTAGATCCATTTTAGTTGTGTAAGTCACGACTGAAAGAAAACGGTTCTTTTATTATATCACCACGACAAAACAAAGCAATAGACTGAAAAACAGTGTCTAGAGCTAGTGAGCTGGCTCCGAGGATAACGGTCTTGTCTCCAGCCTATGCACCTGAGTTCAGTCCCCTGGTCCCATACAGTAGAGAGAGAAAACCAACTCCCAAAGATTGTCCTCTGACCATCACATACAGGCACACACACGCACACACATGCACACATGCATACCTGCACACCTACACACACACACATGAGCACCAGCACATACACACACAAAGACACTCACCTATTTGGCAAGGCACCTGAATCTTGCAGACATTTATAAGAAACAACGAGACTCAGAATGCTACAGCAGATTCATTACTAAAACAAGGCTGCCAGCTCTCTGATAAGCCTGTGTGTGGTCGGCAAGGCTTCGACACGGCCACATATATTCATACTTTGCTCATGCTTCCTCTCATCACAGATTTAAAGTTACAGCTATGCTTTAGCACTTGATTTGGAGCGGCCTTCCACCAAACGTCTGCAAAGCAGATTATAAAGCCATGTGAGCCTAAGAACTTCTGCTTTCAGGAAAAGGAGATTAAGCAAAACACGTAAATATCTCAACAGCCCATCCTTAGATAAATATGAGGGAATTAACTCCTCCATCAGACAAGAACTGGTTCTGCACCATTATTTTTGCTTGTTTTGTTTGCTTATTTAGAGTTTAGAGGAGGTTTTGTGTTGTTTTTTTGAGACAGGGTCTCACTACGTAACAGTCTGAACTCAGACTCTTGATCCTCCTGACCCAACATTCCTTTGGTTCCTCTCATTGTCCTAGAGCCTTTAAGTGGGTTTTCCTACACGCCAATCTGCGTTTGTACGATCCAATCATTTAGCTGAGATAAGCATTTCCTTCCTGTGTAGGCTGTACTAAAGCAGGGCATGCTATAAACCAGGGATAATCTTGTTTTCTGCATACTACAGAATTCAGCAATGCTGTAACAATATCGTAGAACTAGAGGAAGAAACAGAGCACTTGTGGTTTATGGTGGAAAACGTGGACTTTTGAGGGTGCTATCTTCTAATTCTTTCTCAATCATTCAGTAGTGTGACTTTGGGCAAATAGTTAAACTTGTGGAATCTTAATATTCTGATACAATGTTCCTAAAGGACGTGCCATAAGGCAACAGTTGGGCATAAGACATACACTCAATAAATGATCACAGCTGTACTGGTATTTTTAATTAGTATTAAAATGTTTATTAAAATAGATACTCTTAGGTGATATAGAAAGAAGACACATTCTTCTATAAGACAAATACTGATTCTGACCTTCCTGTTTGATTTTTTTTTTTTTTGAGCTAGAGTCTGGCAATGTAGCCCAGGCTTATCCCATGATCTTGATCCTCCTGCTTCAGTCTCCTGAGAGTTCTGAGGCTAAGAATACAGACATACCACCACACTTGGCCAACGTGCTTTTCTTACTCCTGCCCCAGTTTTAAAGTGAAGAGACACTATCTGTGGTGGTTTGAATGAGAATGGTCCTCATGGGCTCGCATATTTGAGTGTTTGCTTCCCCGGTGGTGAACGATTAAGGATTAGAAGGTGTGACCTTGTCTCAAAAGTCCACGGCAGGCTCTCTCTCTCTCTCTCTCTCTCTCTCTCTCTCTCTGTGTGTGTGTGTGTGTGTGTGTGTGTGTGTCTGTCTGTCTGTCTGTCTGTCTGTCTGTCTGTCTGTCTGTCTGTCTGTTTCTCCCTCTCCCTCCTCTCTCAATGCATGATGGTCAGGGCCAGTTCCCTGAAACTGTTAGCAAACCCCCGAATAAGTGAAACAAATGCTCACTTTTATAAAACGCACTGGTCATGGTGTCTCTTCGCAGCAGCAGGACGGTAACTGAGACACTGCCGTGAGGCTTTTGTACGAAACTGTAAAGTATAAGCAGTTGTTTCCACCTACATTCTAGGGGATCCAACTCAGCAGCTCCACATACAAGCACTCTAGACCCCCAAGTCATCTCCCCAGTCCCAACTTTTGCATTTAATAAAACAAGTCAACACACTGAATATCTGACTCTGTCATTGCCAGCTGCTCCTAAAGCGGGAGCAGTTGTTCTGAACGGCAGTGGACTCCCAGTTCTTAAGAACTTTCAATGTGTTTGCTGTTGGCTGGCTTTGCAGAAAGAGTAGCAGTGAGTGTAGAGGCTGCAACTCTAATGCATTTGTATTACCAAGGAGAGAACTGAGCTTGTTGTGAAAGGCTCCAGACAGCCCCATAGTCTCTAGAATGAAAGAAAAAAATGGCTGGAATTAAGAGACATAATTTTAAAATATATGAGGAGGACGCAGTCACAGACTTACAAGTTGAGTTTGGTGCTGGTGGACACATTGTCTAGAAAACACAAATGTCAATCCTTCTTTCTGTCAATCAAATACATCTAAAGTCTACCATTAGTCCAGCAAGCTCCGGCTCCTCTCGTCTGCCCCACCCTTCCCCAGGTCTTCCCTCCGCATCAGAACTCCATGCTTTCTCCAGTTTGTGCTTTTAACTTCTCACAGAAAAGCTAATAATTAAGTAGATAGACACAAAGTTGAAAGAAAGAAATCAAAACCAGTCTTTCCTATTAGAAAAGAGGGGAAATTCTGTTTACTTAACACATTTGAATGAGTCAGAATCCATGAAAAGTGATCATGTAAAATGCATGCCAACTTTACGCAGACATACATGTATGCAGCTCCATGCACACACCCGCTTTTGTCACCCTCCTCTGGCTCGTCAGAAAAGCTCCCAACTAGAGGAAAGTTCGCCCACTCCACTGCGTTCCTCCTGGTGTGGACCCTCATGACCACTGTGATCACTGAACAGCATTCTGCTTCAAATGCATTACATGAAACCTCTCAGCCAAAACTGTCAGTAAGCAGAGAATAGCAAACAGCAGTACATGGAAGAGAGGCAGGAACCTCACCATCAGATGGGATTTTAAGCTGATAATGCTATAATTAGAAACTAATTAAGCCCTGGAATCTGTTTCATGAAAACAGGCACATCTTAATTTTTAAATTAAAACAAAACAAAAAAAACCCTTCAATCTGTTTACATATAAAATATGACAGAGGCGAAAGTAAAAAGAAAAAGCCACTCTGACATGCACCCAAGAAACTGCCCCAGGCGTCTGATGGTGGCAACTCTTGTGCCTGCGTTTGCCATACCTGAACCCCACTCTGCCACGCTGCGTGTCAACAAAGAAGGCAAAACAGGGACATGTTAGCAGAATAAAGCACAATGCAACTGTACGGAGAATTACAAAATCAATTGAAAAGCTTTAACAACAATGAAGATGGATCAGTAGCTGAACAATTCAGTTCAGTTAACAAGCTAGGCAGCTCTTAGCTAGAAGTGGGTAACACAAGACACAGGCTTCATTTGTTCAAATGCTTTGCCCTTCTTAGATTTCAGAGCAGGCTGTAAGCGGCTCTCATTGGCTAGGCCAATTGTTTAATATCCTCATTAGAGCACAGAGATTAAGGGAGCAAGGACACGGCTCTACGTGACATCAATCCGGTGCTTGTTGAGGCACTTGGTGTCGCATAAACACCAACCATCGTCAGAGAGAACAGTTTTTCTCTGTTGTTCTCGATTATTCCCCTCAAATGGTGAATAATAAAACTAGGATTTAACATTAGGCATAAAGCATTCATTAGGAAGCTGGATTATCTGGTTGGTTCCTGAACTTTTCAAACTAACGCAAAGCAGGGTCTGCTGCAGCTTCACTACCGACAAAAGCGGCAAAGGAGGGACAAACACCCCAGACCCAGGACTCACTTCTCTTCTGCGACACAGCCTGCAGGCAGGCTGTCACAATGTCGCAGTTCTTCTGAACTTTATGCAGAAGTCTGTCTTTCTGCTTCAGCTGCCGGAGTAACTTTGCCGACTGGATGCCAATCCTGTACTTCAGCTCGCGAAGGATTGTCTTCAGCTCACTGGAGTCTATCAAGAGAGAAAGAATAAATCCCTTGAGAGAGACAGAAGCCCCCAGTGTGCTACTAGCCAAAAGTTATCTATGTAGAAAAATGCATTTAAACCCACTCATTCTAGTTTTTCATCTAGGACAACTTGTACATAATCAGCCAAGGCATTCCAGTCCAGTGAGGCACCCATTCATCTCCTACTTTACTCTTGAGACAAAGTCTCTCAGATAAATGCCATCCTTGATGCTGCATGTAACACGTAAGCAAAGACTCCTACTTTTACAATAACCAGCTCCAGGTGCACATCTACCTTCCAATGATTGACAAATTAACAGCTACTGAACCTCATGCCGGCCTAAAACATCACCTACTCAAGAGACTAAGGCAGGGGGATCCCGGGTTTAAAGCCAGACAGCGCAACTAAGATCCAGTCTCAAGAACTCAAGGGCTGTGGAGACATCAATGCAAGCCAGGCACCCACATAAAAACACAGTCATGGTGGCACCCTGACCTCTGGCCTCTAGATGCACACATGTATGTACACGCAAAAACAGACAAAAGGTAAAAGAGGGCTCAGTGGTAGAGGCCTTGCCTAACACATGCGAGGTTTCAGTTGTTCAAACCCCAAGACCACAAAAAATAGAAACCAGCTACAAACAGCTTTATCAATTGTCAGTTAAAAGCAAATAACGCCATCACATTTTGTGATGTAGATGAATGTGGTTGTGCTAGTTTTAAGTCTATGGTCTTCTAATAACCTTCTCAGTAATTTTCATTTTAGAACCTTGGTAGTTTTCCTTCATGGTAGAAAATGTATTTCCTCTAAAAGGATCAAATAACTCTACGACTTGGACTGGAGAGATGACTCAGCAATTAAGATCACTGACTGACTCTTCCAAAGGACCAGGTTCAAATCCTAGCACACATGGGGGCTAACAACTGCCTGTACGTCCAAGTCCAGGGGATTTGACACCTCCCCCTGACCTTGACAGGCACTGTACACAGATGGTGCACAGACATGTAGGCAAAGCACCCAAACATATAAAATAACTCTTAAAAAATTAAAATAACTAAGAACCTGAATAATAATAATTAATAATAACAATTCTGCATTCTTAAAACTAATGCTTATAACAAAATGAGATAATATGAAAACCCTATCTAAGTTTTGGTGTTTCTTAAGGTATCTACGACTCTGCATTTTTCTGTATTATATACTACTTATGGGAACATGTTCCAATCCCCATGTAGAAATGTCTCCCACAGTAATATCTACGGTTAAATAAACATAATACAGGCAGAATCGTCTCTCCGTGTCAACTTAGTTTCTCACTAAGAAACAAAGGAAACAGGTCAGCTGGAAAACTGGCCAATTTCCTCTCTAAAGAATTTTATCCTTATGTGATAAATGGGTTTATAATGAAAATTATCTCTAACCTTCCCTGAGCACTTAACACACATTAACGTAGGCCCAAAAAAAGCCTTACAGCTAGCTAGAAACAGTAGCAACATGTCAACCAGGGAATCTGACTCCAAAGTTCAAACCCTCACCACACACAGCCAGGTTTCCTTCAGATGCCATCTTGTTACTGCCCCCTCAACCACAGACCCACACACTAGCTGGGAAGGTGCTAAGTTGCTGCATCAGCGAAACGGGCAACCATGAGAGAAGAAAATTACCACACAGGTTATCTGCGCTGTGTGAAATTCAGTGAGCACGGGACCTAGACTTGCGTCGGGACGGCTGGGTTCTGAGGCTGAAAACAATGAGACGGAAAGAGCATCATTTCAGCAAACAACTGCACAGATCACCCGGCTGTCTAACCGGTGCTCTAGGGATGTTTATCAACAGAGACAAATATGTCACTATGTGGTGTCTTCACCCAACACAGTCAACTGCACGGAAAGAAAGGATACGCGGGCAACTGGGTGAGCAATGGGAGGAAAACTGGGTGAGCAATGGGAGGAAAACTGGGGAGCAAGGGACCCCTCCAGGTCCCATGAGTGATTAGCAGAGTGCTTGGTGACACGGCACATGTGACCTCCACGGGCAAACTGCCGACCTCTGCTGCAAACTTTGGCTGGCCAGTTTCCCTCTGCCAAAAGGAAATGAGCAGTCACCAAAGTTTCCTGGTAGAGAAATGTGAACAGCTCTCTCAAACAAGGAAATCAAATCAAAATTTTCACAACTGAGTCTGTTGGAGTCTGAACTATTGCCCGGTAGCAAGAGTTTGGGTATTGACACACTTCTTAGCACAGCTGGATAATTATATAAAATAAAATGACCCAACTCCAGCCAAAGTACCATAGTCAGCTGGAGGGGGAAGCTTGACCAGGAAGCCAGAAAAGGGGCTGAAAACTGTTTACAGGGGGTAGGAGAAAGCAGACAGATTTATTTTGCTTTTGTTTTGTTTTGTTTTCTGGAACCAGCTAGGCTGGACATTGTCAGCGCACAAGCACTATATAATTCGCTTTATTCCTCCCAGGGTCATTTAGCACAAAGACGATACTTGCAAGAAATGTGCTGGTGGCTTGCCATCTGCTCCCCACACCTTACATTTTGTAAATATGCACAAAGGCTAGTACTGATGCCTGAAACATAAGCTATCATTATTGAGGATAAATAATAATCATCTAACCAGAACATGAGCCTCGGAGTTTAATAACAAAAGAAATATCAAATTAGCCTCTGCTCCGAGGAAACCAAGGTCATTGCTCAGCTCTCCAGGCCGGTGGAAGGCTGCAGTCGTTAAATGCACCGTGAAGCCCAAGCGCTCAGACTCTCCACTCAATCCTTTCCAGAGACCCAGATTAAACCTGCAGCGAAACTGCATTATCGAATTTTTCTGCCTCCCTAGTTAAACCCTATCCAAGTGGGTGGCTAGGGAAGAGGCGGGGTGGAAAGTCCTGGAAGTCTTCCGTTTCTCTCCTCCCAGCGTCCTCTAGATAACTTCTGGTGCGCGAGGAAGAAACTCCAAACTAGTCCTAACAGCTGTTCAGGCGAAGTTAGAGTCTAGACTGCCTCGGGCCTTGGGCACCTGAGGAGCTGAGGGAGGTGGGGAGACTGGACCACGCTCAGAGCCACACCTGCAGAGGGGGAGGAAATAGATGCAGTGAAAGTGTGACTGTAGGTCCCCCGGAGTCACACTCTCCGGGTGTGCGACAGGGCACCAGCGTCCAGGTGGGTAACTGGCACAGGTGAGCAGGGGGCGCAAATGGCGCGGGTGGGCAGGGGGCGCAAATGGCGCAGGTGGGCAGGGGCGCAAATGGCGCAGGTGGACAGGTGGCGCAAGAGGGCAGGTTGGCTGGGGGCGCCAACAGCGCAAAGTAGACAGGTAACTTAGGAAGAAAGGAGAGCAGGTGGCGCAGGTGGGCAAGTGGCACAGATGGGCAGGAGTCCCCGCGCCGCCGCTCACCTTTCTGCCGCAGGTACTGCATCTGGAGCCGCAGGCTCGGCCGCTCCCGCAGCTCCTGCAGCACTCGGGAGTCGCCCACGCCGCGACCTCCCAGGAACACGTCGGATCCCGAGGTCTCGGTGGAACTATCCAGGCTGTCGCTGCGCGGGGGGCGACCCCGAGACGCACGGTCCCCGCCGGCTGCCACCTCATCCTCCTCGGTGCAGCTGTAGAGCTCGATGAGCAGCCCGCTCACTAGGGACGCCGTGCGGCTCGTGCGGCCGTGGGGCTGCGGCTCCTCGTCGCCCTCGGCTGCGGAGTGCCCCGCC